AAAGGAGGATGTGGAGGATGATAACAGTGCGACGACAATGAAGAGGAGGAGAAGGAGGAGGAGGAGGAGGAGGACCAGAGTAATCCCAAGATGCATCAACGATGCTGTAAGGCACCCTTCCGTCCGAAGTCCCCTCCTCAGGAGTCCAAGTGCCCCCTTGAATGACGATCACCCTGGTGGCCTGGCCATAAGCATCGAGGAAGTCTCAAAGAGAACCGCATTTCGAAAGGGCACCGCCCTCAGTCCATGCATCCGTTACATATGTTCAAATGCTTGGTTTTACGTATTGAAGAATGTCTCCAGCGAGAGTCACTTTGAGAAGGACGCCTCCTCCATCCCCGTAGTTGCTGTACACTGTTGAGACGGACGTGCGCGGCGCTCAGGCGAGAGACACACATGTCGAGAAGGAAGCGCCCTCTATCTCTGCAGCTGCTCCGAACTTTAACACGAGTGAACGCGGCGCTGCCGCGAGAGCCTCGTTGTAAAACATCATGCGTGCTCCATCATGTTACCAACTGCAAGGCTTTAAGGCGGTGGCTGAGGATTGTGATAATGATGCTGGTGACGATGTTGAGGATGAGGATTCTGCTGCTGCTGCTGCTGCTGCTTGATGCCGCTGATGACGGCGATGCTGCTGATGATGATGATGCTGATGATGATGATGATGACGATGATGATGGTGATGATGATGATGGTGAGGGTGATGGTGATGATGCTTATGATGATGCTGATGACGATGCTGATGATGATGATGATGATGATGATGATGATGATGATGATGATGGTGCTGAAGATGATGATGTGTAAGGAAGCTGATGCTGCTGACGATGCTGATGCTGATAATGAGGAAGAGGAGGAGGAGGAGGATCATGAGGAGGAGGAGCAGGATACGAAGGAGAAGGGGAGGAAAAGCAAGAAGTATATAACATATGATAGGAAGGGGAGGAAGGCTGAATCAGGAGGATGAGGAGGGAGGGAGGGTGTGCGAAGAAATGAGTGAGAAGGAGGAAGGATGGAGGGAGGAGGAACGGATGAGGGGAAGATATGGAGCAGTCAGGGTGATGTTAAGATGATGATGATGATGATGATGATGATGATGATGATGATGATGATGATGATGATGATGATGATGATGATGCCGCTGATGATGATGCTGATGATGCTGATGATGCTGATTCTGATGATGATGTGGATGATGATGATGATGAGAAGGAGCAGGAGGAAGAGGAGGAGGATGAGAAGGAGGACGAGGATGAGGATGAAAAAGAGGATAAGGATGAGGATGAGGATGAGGATGATGACGAGGAGGATGACGAGGATGACGACGAGGAGGCGATGGATGACGTGTACCAGGAGAAGGTCAACACGGACGAAAACACGAGCATGTAAGGAGTAGGAGGCAGCTTAACCGGATGTTTTTTTTGAGCACGACCGTGCGCTGCATGACTAAAGCACGCTATAGGTGTCTGATAGCAAGGTTACTCTACTCGCTTTGGGGATGGAGGCCTTTACATATCTTGTACCAGGCGCCTGCGGGGACTTTCTCTCTGCCAGTCTTGGGGTCCACAGGTCGACCTGCGCACACCACTCCGAGCCTGGCGATTCGAGCCCCCGAGGAATAGGCGCAATAAGGGGATGACGATCATGAGGAGTAGACGGAGGATGAGTACCAATAAGGAGAAACATACGTCAGTGGGAGGATGGGTGGTGGCGGAGGGGAGGCATTGATTATGAGGGGGAGGAGGGAGTATGAGGAGCCGCATGGCAGTAGAGAGAGAGAGAGAGAAACATAAAAAACACAAAAACACTGGAGGTGAGGTGGATGAGGCGGAGGGAGGGTGCATGAGAAGAAACAGGTTGCAGATTGGCCCGCCCCAGAGGTGGCCCCAGATGGCTTCGATGTCTCCATGATGCAGCACGAGGGCTCCAAGAAAGAGGAGGGTCTGCTCCACCTTGTCCTCTCCTCACCCGCCTCCCTATTTTCTTCTGCCTTCTCGCTCTGCCTCCTCCATTGCTCCTCCTCCTCCTCTCTCCCTCCTCCTCCTCCTCCTCCTCCCTCGTCCTTCCCTTCCTCTCTCCCTCGTCCTTCCCTTCCTCCTCTCTCCCTCCTCCCTCCCCTTGCCTGCCCCCCCCCCCCACAATTACTCAATATGAAAATACTCTCCCACTTCCCCTGATGGCGGTTGGGTGATCGCCGACCCCCCCCGCGTACTGTTTTTTTTACACAGGATTCCCGGGAAACGGGTTTTCGCCTGCGTTTTTTTCCAAAATGCTGCTCTCGCTGAGGCGCCGGCCTCATTTCTGCTCCCGAATCGTTCCGAATCGTGCTCCCGCTGCAGCGTGGGCCTCATATTCGGATCGGTGTTTGGCCTCCGTCGTTCAGGATGGCGTTCTCGCCCCAGCGCGGGCCTCTTTCTCGCGCGCCCATCCGCCCGCCACCACCGCGCCGCACCACCACCACCACCACCACCACCACCACCACCACCACCAGCACCAGCACCAGCACCAGCACCAGCACCAGCACCAGCACCAGCACCAGCACCACCAGCACCAGCACCAGCACCAGCACCCACCACCACCAGCACCAGCACCAGCACCACCACCACCACCACCACCACCACCACCACCACCACCACCACCACCACCACCCACCACCACGCACACACGCACGCACGCACGCACGCGCACCACCACCCACTACGCACGCGCGCGCGGAGCCACAGGTCCGCTACGACACGCGTCCGCGGATAGAGAAAATCAGCGCCATGGTAAGGGATGGGAGGGAGGGGTAGGACGTCAGATATGACGCGAGCGCACCTAGCTTGCCCCCCCCTCCCCGTCTCCTCCCCCGCCCGCCCGCCCTGCTGGTGCTGGCTGCCAGGGCTGGCGCCTCCCGCCTGCCGGGCACCGCCCCGTCACCTCCCCGGCCCTGCGGTCCTCACGGTGCGCCCACGGAGGAGCTCACGCGCGCGCCTCGGAGTAGGCCTGCAGAGCCGCGACAGGCAGGCTGCTCACCGGAGGGAGAAAACAGCGGCACGGACATGCACTCTCGGCGCTCCGCGCGGACTTCTTGGCTCCGCGCTGGGCGCCGCCCCTGGCGCGGCCCGCGCGCCAGGCAGGGGCGGTCTGGCGCAGAGCCAAGAGGGGGGTACGACATTTGCTGCATGCAGCTGGTTTCGGCCTCACCGAGGGGCCCACTCCTCGATACATAGCCGCCTCCGGCGCCGGGAGGCGCCGGGGGAATCAGCTGCGTGAGCGGATTCTCAAACCCCCCTTTGCTATCCCCCCCTCTCGCCCGACCCGAGCCAAGAAGTCCGCGCGGTTCGGCAAACGTTTATGTTTAGGCCGCTTTTTTCTTCCTCGAGCTGAGGCAGCGAGGAGGCCTTTTGGGGGGGCTCGGCACGGGCCCATTCCGCGGCTGCTCTTCCAGCCCTCCTCGTGCACCCAGGCTCTTCTGGAGCCCAAGTGGGCCTCGTTCCTCACCTAGCGTTCCTTATTTTCACCAGCGCGACGGTGTGCACAGCCTCGACAGGCAAGCTGTTCAAGGCGAGGCCGTTTTTGTCCTCTGGCGCGTGTCTGTCGTTACCCGTGCCAGGCGCCCCCCCCCCCATCTGCTGGTGCTCGCTCGCACACTGTGGCGATCGCAGCGCACCGACGTGCCCACCCCGCCCAAGCGTTGCCGTTACCACACAGAATCTTAAGACGATGTCAAGCGCTACAGAGTTCGACGTACCAAGCACTCCTTCAGCCACGCGCAGAGGGGGCTAGGGGGAGGGGGGGAAGGCCTCTTAGAAGCACCCCTGCTTCTCAGAAGGCGCGGGCCTTGTCTGTGGGATGGGAGGGCCGGCGCCTTCTCAGACGCCGCCTCCTTCCAAGAAGTCTTCCCCCCTCCCCCTTCCCCCTGTGCGCGCCGCCCAAAGCACTCCTCCCAGGGCTTGACGACTCTCCTCCCACCGAGCTGCGGGGACCAGGCCAGGCAGCACCTGATCTTGCCGGGAGAGCAGCCAGATCAGTCGAGGCACGCCCAGAGATAACCCTGGGAAGCAATCAGTAAACCCCCCTCCCCCCCCCCCCCCCTCATCAGAGGAAATTATAACGCTTCCGGCACCGGGGCCGGGGCGGAAGCGATATCCCCCGCAGGTCACCAGAGGTCCGCGGAGGGGAGGTCCCCGGAGGTTCCCAGGAGGCATCCAGAAAGGCCTCCACAAGCCTCTGAATGCCTGGTCCCCTTGTTCCCCCGAGCCCAGCGACAAGGCACACCTGCCCAGAGTCGCTTCCTGTGATTCTGTGCGTTTCTGTGAGATTCCCCAGAGATTCCTTTGATACTCCGATTGGCTTCTTTCGAGATTCCTTGCCGTTTCCATTGTGATTCTTTTGGGACTCCTTTGAGACTCCTCTGGTGTTCCTGTGGTGTTATTCTGGGGGTCCCTTGAGGTTCCGGTCATATCCCTTTGATGCCCCATTGCTTAAGGGAGCATCACATCGACAACCGGGGCCGGTGGATTATTTTATTTTCAATAAATGTGCTAACATATCGCGGGGGGGTTCGCGGAATCCGTCTGCGATATCTCTCCGTGGACTCTCCCATAGGATCCCCTGAAATAATCAATTTCCCTAGTGCGGTCGCCATAGGGATTGCTTATGTCCACGCGTTCAGGCTGTCGCCTCTCGTTGCCGCCGGCTTCGGGCCGGGGGGGGGGCAAATTAATTAATTATTTTATTTTTTAATGTGCTAGCGATATCGCCGGAGGGCGCCGCCCAAAATAATTATTTATTTTATTTTTTGTGCTAACGATATCGCCGGGGGGTTTACTGTTTGCTTCCCAGGGTTACCCATCGGTCGTTGAAAGTAGGTATTTCTGGATTCCCAGATTCCAATCTACTCTCAGCGCCTTCCTGCTTCAGGGGTCGAGTCGTTTTCCCTCCTCCCTCCTCTTCAGGAGGCGTGCGGAAACCCAATCCATCTCCAGCGCCTTCCTACTCCGTGTTTCTACCTACTTCTTCCGACCGATGGGTATCCAATGTGCATGGGGGGAGAGACCGCAGAAGCTCCGGCGCGAGCCTCGACGACGCGGGGCGGTGGCCCAGCGCGCCGGGCCGGGGCCCGGCGCGGGCCGCGCGACACGGCCGGTGCCGCTGCGCAGAGCGGGCGTCGGCCGCTCCGGCGCCCCACGGGCTGGGGAGGGGGGGGGCGGCTAGACATCGGGAGGGAGAAGACACACAGGCACAAGTCATCGTCGATTCCGCCGAAAATATGGGAAAAAAGATGGGAAGTGGGGGGGAAGGCGGAAGCCCCACAAATATTGGGAAGTATGGGGCATCTTTTTACCTAACAGCGTAGACTGATAGGTTTCTAGTTGACTCAAAAGAGCTCACAGATCACTCCACAGGGGGGTCCGGGCAGGTGTTGGGAGTTGCCGGGCGGCAGGTGCCGGGCTCGTTTTTCGCCAACAGTCACACACTTCGTGCTCTTCGATTTCCCAGAACTCCATTCCCAGGCCACATTCTGGAGGGCCGAATGCAACAGTCACACACTTCGTGCTCTTCGAGTTCCCAGAACTCCATTCCCGGGCCACATTCTGGAGGGCCGGATGCAACAGTCACACACTTCGTGCTCTTCGAGTTCCCAGAACTCCATTCCCGGGCCACATTCTGGAGGGCCTGTCACACACACACTTCGTGGTCTTCGAGTTCCCAGAACTCCATTCCCGGGCCACATTTTGGATGCCCGGAGCCAACTGTAGGCCACTTCGTGGTCTTCGAGTTCCCAGAACTCCATTCCCGGGCCACATTTTGGATGCCCGGAGCCAACTGTAGGCCACTTCGTGGTCTTCGAGTTCCCAGAACTCCATTCCTGGGCATGAATTTGAATGCCCGGAGCCAACTGTAGGCCACTTCGTGTTCTTCGAGTTCCCAGAATTCCATTCCCAGGCCACATTTTGAATGCTGAGGCAGGCTGAGGCTGAGGCTGAGGCAGGCTGATGCTGAGGCAGGCTGAGGCTGAGGCTGAGGCTGATGCAGGCTGAGGCTGAGGCAGGCTGAGGCTGAGGCCGAGGCTGAAGGCAGACTGAGGCTGAGGCTGAAGGCTGAGGCTGAAGCAGGCTGAGGCTGAGGCTGAGGCAGGCTGAGGCTGAGGCAGGCTGAGGCTGAGGCTGAGGCAGGCTGAGGCTGAGGCTGTGTCTGTGACTGCCGTTGCCACTGCGACTGTCATCGCGAATGCGACTACGACTGCGAGAACAGCACAATTCTACAACTGGATTCTCATTTGAATCTTAAGGGGAATGCTTCCAGATATGCTCCTACACATCGCTGTTAGGTTGCTTTGCCGGGATAATTATGTGTGTGTATGTATTTGTGTGTGTCCTGGGGCCCCTTTAATACAGTCAACCCGCATAGTGAGGATGGTCTAGGCCTCCTAGATGGGGCCGGAGCAGATGGGGTCGGAGGATCGCCGCCGCATCGCCGACGCATCGCCGATGCGGCTCGATGCGGAGCCCGATTTGCTCCACGCCGACGTCGCCCATGGATTGCCGACGTCGACGACGCACGCCAGTGTATCGGCGATGCATCGCCGATGCATCGCCGATGTATCGGCGATGCGGCGCGATCCTCCGACCCCATCTACTCCGATCCCATTTAGGAGGATTCTGGATGGGCAACCTTCCCAAGGGTACCCTTGCGTCCTTGCCCCTTCGGCCCATCCTTAGCGACTCTCGCTGGCCAGCCTCGTTCGAAAGCCGTTTACAGGGGCCTCCAAGGCCCCTGCATCCTTACCGCGCATCCTTTTGATACGGGTTGACTGACTGCACACGCCAGTCGTTGAAAGTAGGAATTCTTTACGCTTCGCGTATCCCCACCAGCCCATCTCACAGCAGCAACTCTCGCGAAGCATGCCGACAGTCGTGTTTTTCAGGCGTGTGTCCGCTTGGCCCCGCATATCTCCCCTGTTCCTCCTTCCTCCCGCCTCCTTGTACATCCTCCTTGTGGGGGGAGCGGGAGAAGGACGAGGCGGAGGAGGAGGGAGAGAAAGCGCTCCTCGTGATTTGAGTCGTTTGGGGTTTCTCGTCCTGGTGTGAGTCGTTCGGGCCCTTCTTCCTGGTGTGAGTCGTTCGGGCTCTTCGTGGTGTGAGTCGTTCGGGCTCTTCGTCCTGGTGTGAGTCGTTCGGGCTTCTCGTGGTGTGAGTTGTTCGGGCCCCTCTCCTGGTGTGAGTCGTTCGGGCCCCTCCTCCTGGTGTGACTCGTTCGGGCTCCTCGTGGTGTGAGTCGTTCGGGGCCCTCGTCGTGGTGTGAGTCGTTCGGGCTCCTCGTGGTGTGAGTCGTTCGGGCGCCTCGTCCTGGTGTGAGTCGTTCGGGCCCCTCCTTGTGGTGTGAGTCGTTCGGGCTCTTCGTGGTGTGAGTCGTTCGGGCCCCTCGTCCTGGCGTGAGTCGTTCGGGCTCCTCGTGGGGCCTCTTGGGGGCCTCTTGGAGCCTCGTGGGGCCTCTTGGGGGCCTCTTGGGGGCCTCTTGGGGGCCTCGTGGGGCCTCCTGGGGCCTCGTGAGGGCCTCTTGGAGGCCTCTTGGGGGCCTGTTGGGGGCCTCGTGGAGCCTCTTGGGGCCTCTTGGGGGCCTCTTGGGAGCCTCTCGGGGGCCTCTTGGGGCCTCTTGGCCTCTTGGGGGCATATTGGATGCTCTTGGGGCCTCTTGGGGGCCTCTTGGGAGTCTCTTGGGCCCTCTTGGGGGCCTCTTGGAGGCCTCTGGGGAGCCTCCTGGGGGCCTCGTCCTTCCTTGATGAGTACCTCGGGCCCCCCATTGTGTGTGAGTCGTTCGGGCTCCTCGTGGTGTGAGTCGTTCGGGCCCCCCGTCCGGGTGTGCGTCGTTCGGGACCCTCCTTGTATGCGAGTCGTTCGGGCTCCTAATAGTGTGAGTCTTCGGGGCCCTCGTCCTGGTGTGAGTCGTGCGGGCGCCTCCTTGCGTGTGAGTCGTTCGGGCTCCTCGTGGTGTGAGTCGTTCGGGCCCCTCCTCCTGGTGTGCGTCGCTCGGGCCCCTCCAGGTGGGTGAGTCGTTCGGGCTCCTCGTGGTGTGAGTCGTTGGGGCCCCTCGTCGTGGGGTGAGTCGTTCGGGCTCCTCCTCCTGGTGTGAGTCGTTCGGGCTCCTCGTGGTGTGAGTCGTTCGGGGTCTCTCGTTCTGGTGTGAGTCGTTCGGGCTCCTCGTGGGGCCTCTTGGGGGCCTCTTGGGGCCTCCTGGGGCCTCGTGAGGGCCTCTTGGAGGCCTCTTGGGGGCCTCTTGGGGGCCTCGTGGAGCCTCTTGGGGCCTCTTGGGGGCCTCTTGGGAGCCTCTTAGGGGCCTCTTGGGGCCTCTTGGGGGCCTCTTGGGGGCCTCTTGGAGGCCTCTTGGGAGCCTCCTGGGAGCCTCTTGGGACTATCTTGGGGCCTCTTGCGACCTCCTCAGAAACGCAAAAGAGCGCTGGCCCCAGAGAAAGACAAAATGAGCCCAAAACCGTCGTAAAATCGATGATTTTGCTATGAAGGAAGAGGAGCGCGGCCCCCTCAGAAGGCCAAAATGGGGCCAAAACCGTAGTAAAATAAATGTTTGTTGCTTCAAAGACGGTCTGAGGCGCCAAACGGTTCCCCCCCCCTGGGGGCCAGAATCCTCGTGAGGGTCGTCGTTTTTTGGCCCTCCCAGGAGTCGAAAAAGACCCCGTTGGCTACACTCGGCCCGCCCTCTCCAGGCCCAGGGGGAGGGGGTAGGGGGAGGGGTAAACCCCTCCCCGAAGGGGAAGAAGGGGGGTTGGGGGGTTGAGGACAGAGAAAGCTCGCTAAACCACTCACGCCCAAAGGGCTGGTGGGACTCCCAGATCCCCAGATCCCAGTCCGCGTCAAGCGCCGTCCTGAGCCAAGGGCCGCGATGCTTTTTGCCGCGTGTTGCAGTTCTATGGGAGTGCCTGCGCTCAATCTGCTTGATCCGCCTTCCCACTTCCTGCCTACGCCTGTTACCAGCCTGGAACATATCCCTATCCCTCTGCTGGGCGGCATCTCCTCATCACGATGCCAATCTTAGGGATTCCTTTATTTTTTGAGGGCGAATCCCTGAGATTGCCATCGCCTCTTGGCGTGCCAATCTTAGGGATAGGGATACGTTCGAGGCTGGTAACCGAGGGGCCGGCCAGGCGGAGCCCCCCCCCCCACGCCAGGTTCAGGTCGGGCGTGTCCCCCTACAGGGGGATGGAGGTTCGACGAAACATAAAAGAATACCCACGAAAATGATCCAAAAATGACCCAAAAATAGTCAGGGGACTGCTTTTGGAGTACTTTTTTTGGCCTTTGGGGGGCCTTTTTGGGGGCATTCTCCGACCGCCTCCCGACCGACGCGTGCTCCTCGAGCCCCTCCTGCGGGCTGGGCCGGCGGCCCCCCTGCGCCGGGGGGGGGAGCCCCGGGCCCCGGAGCGGGCCTCGCGGCACCGTCGGTGCCGCTGCGCAGCCGGCGCCTCCGCCTCCGCCTCCGCCTCCGCCTGACTCCGCCTCCTCCCTCCTTCCTCCTCCTCCTCTTCCTCCTCCTCCTCCTCCTTCCTCCTTCCTCCTCCTCCTCCTCCTCCTCCGCCTCCTCCCCCTCTCTTCGGCCCCCCTCCGCCGCCAGAACTTCCTGAGCATCTACGACCAGTGCGAGTACGCGTACACCTTCCACGTGGCCGGGAAGCACTACTCTGCCAACCTCAAGTACAAGCTAGCGTGCAACCAGGCGCGTCTTCCCGTCCGTGCGGCCTCGACGGCCACGCGGCGCGGCAGCCCTTATCTTGTTCGGAGGAGGGCTCCGACCGCCCTCGATGGTCGTTGCCTCTACGGGTGGTGCTCGATCCCCGGCAGTCCTTTGCCATGACTGGATGTGGGAGAGAGCGAGAGATGGAGAGGTGCGGAGCGCAGGCTATCTATATTCTATCTTCCCAGGCGGTTTTTGGTGGAGCCAGCTCACGCCGCTATTCCGCGTGAGCAGTGCGAATCGAGATGGGATAGTTGTTATTAGTATCCCGCCTCCGCCTCCTAACTCCTCCCTTTCTGCCTCCTTCCTCCTTGATTGCCCACAATCTGCGCAGACTCAACCGTGCCCAGACTCAGTCATGCGCAGACTCACTCGCACTCAGATTCGTATTCGTTCATGCTCAGACCTACTTATACTTATACTCAGAAGACCACTCATGCTTGACCACATCCTCATCCTCCCGGCGCGCATTTGGCGCGTCGTAGCTGTCTGTCTTGTCGCGCGTTTGGCGCCTCCTGTCCGCCAGCTAACGCGTTTGGCGTAGCTCGCACGCTCGCCAATTGTCTTGCCCACGCGCGCTTTGCGTATGGCTGCTTCGCTTCGGCACGTCCGTTTGGGCAGGAGTGGTGGTGGTAACCCTTTCCCGCTCTCCCCCCCTTCCCCGCCCCCCTACTCGCCACCGGCAAACGACGGCGCAGTCGTCGCGCCATGGGAGGGGCGGGGGATACGCCCCCCCCCCCTTTTCGGCCAGGGGGAGGGGGTTGGAGTGGGGAGGGGGGCTAGGGGGAAAAGGGGGGCCCCAATTTCGGAGTGGGACTGGATGTTTTTTCGGTTCCGAGACCTCCCTTTTCCAGACTCTTCCAAGGCAAGCCAATTTCGAAGGTGCTGCCTCTCTCTCATAGATTCGGGCCCACTCCCATCAAGCCGCACTTGTATTCAGGTGCGCTCAGGCATGGCCCTTGGGCCTCCCAATAGTCGAAGAAGAAACATACACAAACATAATTATCCCGGCAAAGCAACCTAACAGCGATGTGTAGGAGCATATCTGGAAGCATTCCCCTTGAGATTCAGATGAGAATCCAATTGTAGAATTCTGCTGTTCTCGCAGTCGTAGTCGCATTCGCGATGACAGTCGCAGTGGCAAAGGCAATCGCAGTCACAGCCTCAGCCTCAGCCTGCCTCAGCCTCAGCCTCAGCCTGCCTCAGCCTCAGCCTGCTTCAGCCTCAGCCTCAGCCTCAGCCTCAGCCTCAGCCTGCTTCAGCCTCAGCCTCAGCCTGCCTTCAGCCTCGGCCTCAGCCTCAGCCTGCCTCAGCCTAGCCTCAAGCCTCAGCCTCAGCCTCAGCCTCAGCCTCAGCCTCAGCCTCAGCCTCAGCCTGCCTCAGCCTCAGCTCAGCCTGCCTCTGCCTCAGCCTCAGCCGCTTCAGCCTCAGCCTCAGTCTGCCTGCAGCCTCGGCCTCAGCCTCAGCCTGCCTCAGCCTCAGCCTGCCTCAGCCTCAGCCTCAGCCTCAGCTCAGCCTGCCTCAGCCTCAGCCTGCCTTAGCCTCAGCCTCAGCCTGCCTCAGCCTTCAGCCTCAGCCTGCTTCAGCCTCAGCCTCACTCTAGCCTTCAGGCCTCGGCCTCACCTCAGCCTGCCTCAGCCTGAGCTTGCCTCAGCATCAGCCTCAGCCTCAAGCCTCAGCCTCAGCCTCAACCTCAGCCTCAGCTATCAGCCTTCCGCCTCAGCCTAGCCTCAGCTGCTTTCAGCTTCAGTCTCAGTTGCCTTCAGCCTCGGCCTCAGCCTCGGCCTGCCTCAGCCTCAGCCTGCCTCAGCCTCAGCCTGCCTCAGCCTCAGCCTCAGCCCGCTTCAGCCTCAGCCTCAGTCTGCCTTCAGCCTCGGCCTCAGCCTCCGCCTGCCTCAGCCTCAGCCTGCATGAGCCTCAGCCTCAGCCTCAGCCTGCCTCAGCATCAGCCTGCCTCAGCCTCAGCCTCAGCCTGCCTCAGCCTCAGCCTGCCTCAGCCTCAGCCTCGGCCTGCTTCTGCCTCAGCCTCAGTCTGCCTTCAGCCTCGGCCTCAGCCTCAGCCTGCCTCAGCCTCAGCCTGCATCAGCCTCAGCCTCAGCCTGCCTCAGCCTCAGCCTGCCTCAGCATCAGCCTGCCTCAGCCTCAGCCTCAGCCTGCCTCAGCCTCAGCCTCAGCCTCAGCCTGCTTCAGCCTCAGCCTCAGTCTGCCTTCAGCCTCGGCCTCAGCATCAGCCTGCCTCAGCCTCAGCCTGCATCAGCCTCAGCCTCAGCCTCAGCCTCAGCCTGCCTCAGCATCAGCCTGCCTCAGCCTCAGCCTCAGCCTCAGCCTGCTCAGCCTCAGCCTGCTTCAGCCTCAGCCTCAGTCTGCCTTCAGCCTCGGCCTCAGCCTCAGCCTGCCTCAGCCTCAGCCTGCATCAGCCTCAGCCTCCGCCTCAGCCTGCCTCAGCATCAGCCTGCCTCAGCCTCAGCCTGCCTCAGCCTCAGCCTCAGCCTGCTTCAGCCTCAGCCTCAGTCTGCCTTCAGCCTCGGCCTCAGCCTCAGCCTGCCTCAGCCTCAACCTGCCTCGGCCTCAGCCTCAGCCTCAGCCTCAGCATTCAAAATGTGACCCGGGAATGGAGATCTAGGAATTCGAAGAACACAAAGTGGCCTACAGTTGGCTCCGGGCATTTAAAATCTTGCCCAGGAATAGAGTTATGGGAACTCGAAGACCACGAAGTGGCTTACAGGTGGCTCTGGGCATTCAAAATCATACCCAGGAATGGAGTTCTGGGAAGTCGAAGACCACGAAGTGGCCTACAGTTGGCTCCGGGCATTCACAATCATACCCAGGAATGGAGTTCTGGGATTTCGAAGGACACGAAGTGGCCCACAGTTGGCTCCGGGCATTTAAAATCATGCCCAGGAATGGAGTTATGGGAACTCGAACACCACGAAGTGCGTTACTGTTGGCTAAAAAAGGAGTCCCCGGATCCCGTCCGGATCCCGCCCAGACCCCCTGGGGAGTCATGATGCTCTCTTTTGACCTTACTAGAAACCTATCAGTCTTCGCTGTGAGGTAAAAACTTCAAGGGCGCTGTCTCGTGCCTTTCCGCGCCTCTCTCTCATAGATTCGGGCCCACTCCCATCGAGCCGCACTTGTATTCAGGCACGCTCAGGCATGGCCCTTGGGCCTTCCAATAGTCGAAGAAGAAAAAGACACGTAAACATAAAAACTTCAAGGGCGCGGTCCCGTGCCCTTTCCGCGCCCAGACCGTCGGCACCTCTCGCGCAGAGAGGGGCCCCTCTTCGAGGCCCCGCGGTCGTCGCGACGTGTGGCAGAGCTGGCCGGCACTCGGGCCTCCCAGGGGGGGGGAGCCGCCCACGGGGCTCTTGCCAAGGGCCCGTTCGCGCCCAGTCTTGCTTCGGGCACGGCCCTCCACTGGAGGAGTATGCAAAAGTAGTCAACAAGAAGTCGGGGGACGATTTTTCTGCTATTTTCGTTCGCTCATTTTTGATACAAATCTACAGACTATTTCAGATGGTTCTCTCAAAGTCCGCCTGCAGGGGGACGTGCCCGACCCAAACCCAGTCTCTTGGGACATGTCAGGCGACGGGAGTGTTATCGCAGGCCCGCTCGCGCCCACATCGTCATGATCTCTGAGGTAGAGAAGCCGTTCTACTGGGGTGTGCGTGTTCCTCTTCAGCGCCCCAAGATCGTCACGATGTACAGTCGGGGCCCTGAAGAAGGAACCTTTTTCGCCGGGGAGGGGCTCCGTGTTCCTTAAGTGTTCACAGCTTGCCCTGGATTTTCCTTGGTTTTCGATGCGAAATCGAAGTTCAACTTATGGAAAATAGGGGCCTCGTTCCTTATTTCGGGTTCCTTAGGTCAACGCCTCGACTGTAGAAGACATTGGCTTCAGGACTCTGCAGAAGGGGGGAGGGGGCGCGACTGGAGGGCTATCACCGGCCCGCTCTCGCCCACAGTGCGGGGACGTCTCATGTGTAGAGTGGCCGCTTTTTTGTCGGAAGAGGGCTCTCAGAAGCCTTGAGGCATCTCGAGAGGCTTCTTTTGGGGCCTCTCGGAAGGCTCGAGGGCCTCTTGCGGGCCTCCTGGAGGCCTCTTGGAGGAGGCAGTTTTGGACGCCTCTGGGGGCACTTCAGGAGCCTCCGGTATGCAGGGCCTCTTGGGGGCCTGCTGGCGGTCACGGGGGCCATCCTGGGGGCCTCGCGGGCCGTCGCGGGGCGATCCTGGGGGCCCTTTGGGACCGTTTTGGAGGGTCATTTCTGGCAGAAGTCAGCCACGCGCAGAGGGGGGTGGGGGGAGGGGGGAGGGCTTCTTAGAAGCACCCCTGCTTCTAAGAAGCCTTCTCCCTCCCCCTACCCCCTTTTGCGCGCCGCCAAAGAAGAGGAGCTGGGGGTGGACAGAACCCCCACCTTGACATGTCGATTAGTGAATTGGCCGTTGCCGGTTCTCGAGAGGGCGCCGCGGCCGTCATTTTCCAGGCTTGCGCCCGCCGGGTTTGGGCCCGAGGTCGTTGTCACAAAGCCACGTTTTTTCTAAAGGGGGTTCTGTCCATCCCCGCAGGAGGCGAGTATGCGAAAACCAGGCAGACATGTGAGTTCTTTCCGTATTTGTGGCCTCCCGGGCCAGCCGCGCGGGCCACCAGGACGGCCAGCGAGGCCACCTAAGAGGGCTCCAGGACGAGGCCTGGGACCACCTCCGGCCATGTTGGAAGGTTGGATTTCAAAGCGCGCTGCCGAGACCTCCACAAAAGTCACGCGGCAAGCCTCGGCCGCGCCTAGAAATCTGAGCCTCATGCTTGTCATGTATGTTTAAATATATGACAGAGCGTGTTCTACCGCTGCTGGCGGAAAACCGGGGGGGGTCACTATCGGTTCGGACCCCCCCCCCCCCCAGGCGACATGAAAAGGGGGGGGGTCAATACCGGTTCGAACCTCCCCCCCCCTCAAAACCAGGGGGGGGGGGGGTTTTACTACCGGTTCGACACCCCCCCCCCCACACCCTCCCTCGGAAACCAGGGGGTGTCACCACGGGACGCTGGGACAGCACAGTGGCGACAGCGCGGCGGACAGGTGGCGGGCGTAGTGTAGTAGGGTACAGTTGCATTCGGGGGGACAGTGGGACAGTGAACGAACCGTGGGGGAAGGTGGGAGAGCGTGGGACCGTGGGTGGGACAATGGTGGAGAGGTGTGGGCATTGACACACTGGTGGGGGCACTGGTGGGGGACAGCGGGGGACCAAAGGTGACAGGGAAACAGTGGGGACAGCTGTGACGGTGGGTTTGGTGGGGGGACTGGTGTGGGGACAGTGGGAATGTGGTGGAAACAGTGGGACAGTGGAGGGTACAGTGGTGGTGGGGACAGTGGTGAGGGCGGTGGCGAGGACGGCGGTGGGACAATGGGACAGAGGTACAGTGGGGACACTGGTGGGGACAGTGGGGACAGTGGTGGGAACAGTGGGACAGCTCAGTGGGAAAGCGGAGGAGACAGTGGGACAGTGAGGAACGTGGGGACAGTCGGGCAGTGGTTGGGGCCGTGGAGACAGTGGGGAGAGTGGAACCGTGGTGGGAACAGAGGTGGGGATAGTGGGGACAGTGCGACAGTGGTGGGGGCACTGGTGGGGACAGTAGGGACCGGTGGTGGAACCAGTGGGGACTGGTGGCGAGGACAATGGTGCTGGATGTGGGGTGGACGGTGGTAGGGCCTGGGAGTCATTTGCTGCTGGCGGTGAGCGTAAGGGTGTGGTGGGGGGGCGGGAGGGGTTCACGAACGGCCACCCTCCTGAGTTATGGGGTGGGGAGGGCCAGGGAGAGGTTTCGAACAGGGGGCGCCCGACCTCCCCCGAGTATTCCACGGAGGGAGGGGGGGGGGTGTTCGCACAGCGGTAGTGGACCCCACACGGTGTTCGAGAGGGGGGTTTCGAGAGGGGGGGTCTCGAACCAGCGGTAGTGACCCCCCTACGGTTTCAGGAAGGGGGGGACGGATTCGAACCAGTAGTGGACCCCCCCGTTTTTTTTTTTTTGCTTTTTTTTCTTTTTTTCCTTTTTTGTTTGTTTTTTTGGGGGGAGGGGTTCGAAACGGTAGGTACCCCCCTCGGTTATCCGAGGGGGGGGGTTCGAACAGGTAGTGACCCCCACCGGTTTTCCGGAAGGGGGGGGGTTTAGGGAAGGGGGGGTTTTGCTGGGGAAGGGGGGGGGGGGTCCAGCAGGGCGGGTGATTTTCGGAGGGGGGGGGGGGGACCTCCCGGGTTCCGGAGGAAGAGGGGGGGGAATTTTCCACAGTTTTAGAGGGGGTGGTACGCTCTTATATATATATAGATATATTATATACACACACTTTTTATATACATATATTATATATTTATATATATATATACTATATATATAATAAGATATTATATATATATATATTTCATTTTATCATATTAAAATTTCATTGGGACCCCCCCCATGAGATCCGGGGGGGGGGGGCACCACGCCGACCCCCCCTCCAGAGCCCCCATGACGGCTCAACAGATGGCCCAAGACGGCCCAACAAACGGCCCACACCCGTCCAGGACAGCCACGATGGTCCCAACAAAGCCCAATATGATCCCAAGGCGTCTCCAAGACGGCCCAAGACGACCGACGACGGCCAAGGATGGCCCCCAAGACACTCCAAGAGGCTTCCATGAGGCTTCCGCAACGGCCCCGGAGGCCTCCAAGAGGTTCTCCAGGAATGCCCGAAGAGGCCAAAAACATAGATTCCCTTTCGGTTTTTGAAAAATTTCGGCATTTGCTTATTTTCGGCTTTCGGCCGATCCAAGGCGCCCCAAGAGGCCCCCTGGCTCGCACCAAGATCGCCCACGAGGCCCTCCAGACGGCCCCAAGAGGGCCCCAAGATGGCCCCAGAGGCTTCCAAGACGCCCAAGATTGTCTCGATGACTGGCCCTCAGGCGCCCCAAGAGGGCCCAAGTCGGTTCAGAGAGGCCCCCAGGACGAATTCCGACGGCGTCGGACGGGACAAGAACGCCCTAGGACGGCCAAACAAGGCTGCCAAGAGGCCCCCAAAGGCCTTCAAGAGGCTCTGGGAGGCCCCCCAAGAGCCCTCCAAGAGGCCCCCAGGAAGCTCCCAGGAGGCCCCCATAGTGTCCCAAGCGGCTCCCGACGGGCCTCCTCCTGCCCCTCCTCCTCCTTCTCCTCTTCCTCCTCCTGCTCCTGCTCTTTTGTGGCTGCATCCTTCAAGCAAAACCCATTCGACGAGCCTCATCCTCATCCTCCATCTCCTCCTCACCCTCCTCCTCCTCCTCCTCCTCCTCCTCCTCCTCCTCCTCCTCCTCTTCCCGTTTTAAAGAGCAGGACATAGAATCTGGATTTTTTCCCAGCCTCCCCACATATTTTTTCGACAAAACCCAGGGGCCAAGATTTAAGGCGAAGCGGCAGCGAGCCTTCAAAATCTTGTATATATATATATATAGAGAGAGAGCATAGGGATATTCAGTACAGAGAGAGTTCGAAGGGGCGTGAGGACCTCGCGACACGGTGGTGGATTTGCCAGCGCAGCTGGTGATGTCAATGCGTTTCTCCTTTGCAGTGGTCGCCGCTGCGTTGCCGTAGCGCGCGCGTCTCTCCTCTCTGCTTCACTCTTTCTCCTCCCTCCTCCCTCCCTCTGCCCCTCGCTTCTTGTTCTCCTCTGTCCTCTCCTCCTTCTCCTCCTCCCCTTATCCTCCCCGCAGACTGTGTTCATGATCGGGCGCAAAGCGTACCTGAAGGAGGAATTCTGGTATTCAAGAGGCTGGCGCCTGAGCCCGTGCATGAGCGGGCGGCGCCAAGGTATTGTTTCTAACAGACAGACTGGTCCTATAGGTCTTGTGAGAGCTCTTGTGCGGGATGTTTTGTGCGTTCTTGAGTGGGCTCTCGTGTTGGGCTGCGTCGATTCGCGTTCTCTGCGCAAGTCGTCCCGCGCGTTTTGTGCGCGAGCACTCTTCGCTCGACCGTGGCTTCTGCCAGACATCGTGCGACGTGGGCGCGAGCTGCGCGCCGGCGAGGGAGGCGAAGGGGGGAGGAGGACAGCGGGATAGTGCCCTCGTCCCTGCGGCCACGTCGGCTCTGGATGTGACTGTGCCCCACCGCCTGCCGAGGGGCGGGAGGATGCGGGAAACCATTACGGCGACGAGGTCGAGGAACAAAATAAAACGGTGCCGAAGGACGCGGTGTCCAAGTCCCACGCCGGGGGCCTCCGAGGTCGTGCCAGACGCGCAGTCCTGAGCAACGCGGCGCTGCGCCATCCGCGCGCCACGTCGGCGCGCCGCACGGTGCCAGAGGACATGGGCCCGAACGGGCCCCACGGCACAGCGCGCCTCCTGCCACGACATTGGGAGGCAACGCGGCCTTCAACTCCGAACCGGAGAAGGGGGGAAAGGGGGCCAGAACCACCTCCGCCCCCCCTGGCTCGAACCGGGGAAGGGGCGGGGAGTATGACTCAATTAGAGCTGAAACGATTTTTTGTTTGTTTGTTTCATTTTGTTCTTTCTTTTGCAGGATTCTGTTCGAGTTGGATCCAGCCTTAGCAGGATCCTGGAAAAGCTGGATTCTGTTAGGGCTCTATGAGATTTTAGTCGAACTCTCGCCGGATTTTGTCAGAGCTGGATACAGCCTTAGTAGCAGTATTCAATTCGAGCTGGATCGAGCGTTTGCAGGATTCCATCAGAGCTGGATCCGAACCTGGTAGGATTCTGTGGGAGCTGGATCCCACAGGAGGGATTCCCAGGGGAGGTCGGGGAGCAGGCACCCTCAGCTGAGGAGGGGGAAGGGTTCCCAGGGAGGGTCGGGGAGCGGGAGAGCCCTTCTGAGGAGGGGTCAGGCGGGGTATAACGAGGGGTCAGGAGGGATCAGGAGGGGCAGTTACGCGGGAGAGGTGGTCGGGGTGGCGGGAGCCCTCCTGAGGAGAGGCCAGGAGGGGCCAGGAGGGGCCAGGAGGGGTCAGGAGGGGTTCCTCTGGGGGGGGGGGTCGGGAGGGGAGCCCTTCCAAGGAAGGGTCGGGAGGATGCCCGGGGGGCCAGGGGGCCGGGGCAGGGTCCGTTGCTTCTGAGCAGGGGTCAGGAGGGGTCAAGAGGGTCAGGAGGGGTTCGGGGGGGGTGAGCCCTTCTGAGGAGAGGTCAGGAGGGGTCGGGAGGGTTCCCCGGGGGGAGGGGCCGGCGAGCGGCGGGAACCCTTCTGAGGAGGGGCTTGTGGGGGTCAGGAGGGGTTCGGATGGGTCCTGGGGGAGGGGGGGCAGGGGCCGGGGGGCAGGAACCGCCCTGAGGAGGGGTCAGGAGGGGCCAGGGGCCAGCGGGGGTTCAGGAGCGGTTCCCGGGGGGGGGACGGGGAACGGGAGCCCGTCTGAAGCGGAGTCAGGAGGGGCCAGGAGAGGTCGCGAGGACCAGAGGTCAGAAGTGACGAGGAGGGGCGGGGGCCCGTCTGAGGAGGGGCCAGGAGGGGTCAGGCGGGTAACCCCCCCGCCAGGATCCCAAAAACCTTTTCTGGAAGGATTTTGCCGAACGAACCTTCTCCAGGATGAAACAAAAAACGCTTCTGGATGGTTTTTCTTTGAACGCCCCCCCCCTCCGGGGTAAACAAAAAACAAAACTGGATGGGGTTTGCTTGAACGAACCCCCGGTAACCCCCCTCCAGTTTTCAAAAGACCTCTCCTGGGTTTTTCCCAACCATCCTGTGGTGTTAGGTCCTCGTTTTGAAGAGACATCGCCCCGCGTTTCCTTTCTCCCGCTGCCCCCCTCCCTCTCCCCATCATCAGCATCATCGCCACTATCATCACCCCTCACACGTTTCGTGGCCCCATAGGGTGCTCCACCGAATGCCCCAGTGGGGGTGGCCACATGCGTCCGCCACACCCGGTACAGCGTTTCGTGGCCCCATAGGGAGCTCCACCTAAGGGCCCAGGGGGGTGGCCACATGCGTCCGTCACACTCAGTATAGCGTTTCGTGGCCTTATAGGGAGCTCCACCTAAGGCCCCAGTGGGTGTGGCCACATGCGTCCGCCACACCCAGTACAGCGTTTCGTGGCCCCATAGGGAGCTGCACCCACGGCTCCAGTGGGGGTGGCCACATGCGTCCGCCACACCCAGTACAGCGTTTCGTAGCCCCATATGGAGCTCCACATAAGGCCCCAGTGGGGGTGGCCACATGCGTCCGCCACACCCAGAACAGCGCTTCGTGGCCCCATAGGGATCTCCACTTCAGGCCCCAGTGGGTGTGGCCACATGCGTCCGCCACACCCAGTACAGGGTTTCGTAGCCCCATATGGAGCTCCACATAAGGCCCCAGTGGGGGTGGCCACATGCGTCCGCCACACCTAGTACAGCGCTTCGTGGCCCCATGGGGAGCTCCACCCAAGGCCCCAGTGGGTGTGGCCACATGCGTCCGCCACACCCAGTACAGCGTTTCGTGGCCCCATAGGGAGCTGCACCCACGGCTCCAGTGGGAGTGGCCACATGAGTCCGCCACACCCAGTACAGCGTTTCGTGGCCCCATAGGGAGCTGCACCCAAGGCCCCAGTGGGGGTGGCCACATGCGTCCGCCACACCCACGTCGGCACACCCTTCACACGTTTCGTGGCCTTATAGGGAGCTCCACATAAGGCCCCAGTGGGGGTGGCCACATGCGTCCGCCACACCCACGTCGGCACACCCTTCACACGTTTCGTGGCCTTATAGGGAGCTCCACATAAGGCCCCAGTTGGGGTGGCCACATGCGTCTGCCACACCCTGTACAGCGCTTCGTGGCCCCATAGGGATCTCCACTTCAGGCCCCAGTGGGGGATGGCCACATGCGTCCGCCACACCCAGTACAGCGCCTCGCTCCACCAAAGGCCCCAGTGGGGTTGGCCACATGCGTCCGCCACACCCATACAGCGCTTCGTGGCCCCAAAGGGAGCTCCACCCAAGGCCCCAGTGGGGGTGGCCACATGCGCCCGCCACGCCCAGCACAGCGTTCCGCGGTCGTATAGGGAGCTCCAACGAAGGCCCCAGTGGGGTCCTCCACATCCGGTACGCCCCTCACACGCTTCGTGGCCCGTTATGCCCCCGCCACGCCCAGCATTCACAGTCGTATGCATTTACACTAGGCGTATCCATGCTCGCATTCATGCACATAGATTTACTCGCACGCAGACTCAATCGCAATCAGACGCGCTCGCGCTCAGTCTCACCCGCGCTCAGTCCCCCGTGCTCAGGCCTATCGTTTCCGTTCGTGTTGTGTACAGTCGACCCGCAGAGTAAGGATAGGCCTCCCTCCCAAGGGTACCCTTGCATCCTTGCTTCCTGGGTCCATCCTTGGACACTTTCGTTGGCTGCGCCCCGCTCGAAACGCTCCGAAATGGGCGTCCAAGGCCCTTGCATCCTTCTCGCGCATCCTTACTCTGCGGGTTGACTGTACCCCGCCACACACGTCGGCACACCCCTCGCACGGTTCGTGGCCCCATAGGGATCGCCACCGAAGAAGATATTCACAATTGCGGTAGTCACAACTGCATATGGTTGGGTCCTTCACCAGGATAATTTTACGAACGAGCCCCCCTCCAGGATCCCAAAGACCTTTCCTGGATGGTTTTTTGAACGACATCCCCCTCAAGGATCCCCTAAAACCTTCCTGGAGGGGTGGTTTGAAAGCGAAGCAGCCCCTTTGTCCAGGGGAGGTCAGGAGGAGTTCGCCTGACGGTTTTCCACTCGCGCTCACATTTCGGGAGGGCCTTCGACGAAAAGCCCTTCTTGAACTGTGTTGCCCCTCCCCCCGAACGCCGGGCCCTCTCCTGGAGGGGTTTCCGGGACGGGTTCGCCCCGAACGCCCACAGCGGTGTCTCTTCATCCTTGCAATTAGCTGTGGCAAACTTTTAAGACGAATGTGCGCGGAAGGAGAAGGATGAAGAGGCGGAGGAAGATGATGATGAGGAGGAGGAGGAGGAGGAAAAGGAGGAGTAGGAGTAGGAGGGAGGAGTAGGAGTAGGAGTAGGAGTAGGAGTCAAGCTAGCCAGCTCGAGCGAGTCAAGCATGGCATGCCCAGTCCCACCCGCCCTCCCACAACATAAGAAGCAAAGCTGGCACAAACTGGGGGCCGAAGTCACACCGGCCAGCCGGTTTGGTACAGCTGATGCGGCCGCGATGGCGGTTGCCGACGGGAACTGGCGAGCGCGTGTTGAATGCCGCGCACGCATTGCAGACGAGTCGAGAATGGCCCGGTACACCGCAGGAAGCCAGAGGTGGCCGGAGGAAGCCCGACGGTCTGACAGGACACCCCAAAGCATTTTTGTGAAAAAGCATTGGGTTTTTGATGTTTTTATGTTGAAATGCTTGCAAACACACGGTGTTCGGTAGGATTCTGACATGAACGCGCGAGTGTGCTCTTTGTGGTTTTTTTGCACAGGATTCGCGGCCTGGGTGCATGACAGAGCATCGCGAGTGCACCGCGCGATGACGTGAAATCGCTGGATTTGACAGAATTCTTAAGATTCCTATGGTTTTCCTATGATTTCAGCAAGAGAGCCCGGGCGGGAAATTTGTACAATTTTTGTGAAAAAGCATTGGGTTTTTGATGTTTGTATGTTGAAATGCTTGCAAACACACGGTGTTCGGTAGGATTCTGACATGAACGCGCGCGTGTGCTCTTTGTGGTATTTTCTGCAATGGATTATCGCCGTGGACGACAGGATCTCCATGTCGAGAGGAAAAAATAAGAAAAGTGTTGATTTTGTATTGTTTTTTACAGGTTAGGATGGGACCACCCGGATGCGCCCGCTA